TAGTATGGTATCGATATCGCAACTGCGCCAACCCAATGGGAGAAAAAGAATGAACTCCAAATCACCGACGACCGCTTAGTTGCATTGGCGCCATTTACTATCCCACAACATTCTTTCAACCCATCTCAGTACACCGGGGCTTGGTCGCCGCGGCCCCCCGGAACAGCGGGGCTGGAGTCCCACGGTCCCGGCGATCTCACCGGTGGTACTCGGATGTTCCGCAAGGCAGTGAACCCAGCCCCGAGTTCTCGGTCCTGGTCATGCTCGCTGCTAGCCGCACTACTGATACAACTGTTGTTCGACATGCCGCCGCTGCTGTTTGTCCTCGAGTGGGCCAGACCTCGTGGGCTGATACTTCCACTCAGGCTTCCGCTGTCTCGCCGTGATGGCTGAGACAATGAGTTCTGCCGAATAGGCTGGGGCATCAGCTCGGAGCTGGGGCTTACGGCTTGGATGCGTAGTTGCGACATGCCAAAGTCCCATCCTCCATACTGATGGACGCAGTGTGGTTCGGTGATGTCGCAGTATTTCGTCAGAATCTGGTAGATTTGCGTCTGCACCTCGGACGCGGGGGGACGGTCGTTGGGGTTCGCGGACAGCATGCGTGCGACGATGTGCATCAATGGGACGATACCCTTGAACACGGCTCCGCCTTCGGACTCAGAGGTTTTCTTTGACGCTTCCTTCGCTAGCGTGGACATCCAGGACTCGACTTGGCCCAAGTTTTTGTGGAATGAAGAGTCTAGTACCGCGCCTCCTCGGCCAGGAGACTTGTGCTTTGCGGCACGGTGGGCTGCGAAGCTCTTTGTCGTCTTCTTGACGAGGAAACTCATGAGATCGAGAATAACGCATCCGAGAGAGAAAATATCAGCAGCTTGCGGGCTAAGCTGCGGGTTTGGCATGCTCAGCATTGCGTTCGGACTGCTGGGGTTGTCGCTCCTGGGAATAGAGAAGTTGGTGTGCGTTTCTGGAGACGTCGACATGGCCAAAGTCGCTTTTCGACCCATCGGACTGGTCGGGCCGCCGCTTGGACGAAACCACTGTTCTGGCGCGGCATAGTCGTATGACTCTCGGTCGAATGAGTTCTTGTCGGAATACCCTGCAAGAATCGCGGGGTTTAGTCTCGTGAAATCAGAGTAGAAGATGTGAAGCTGGTTGGTAAAGAGTATGGTCGAAGGCTTGATGTTTCCGTGGGAGAGCCTTCGGCTGTGGAGGTAAGCGAGAGTGTCGGCGAGACACAGGATCCAGTTCATCACCATCCGCCTCCGTTCTTTCTTGGGAAAGTTCTTGAAATTGGATGGGGTGTTGCCGAGAAAGGACTTCAAGTTAGAGTCCGTGGCAGGCGTGAAGAGAGCGTATGCAGCTCCGTGCTGGGTATAAGAAGCATAATAAGAGACCAAGTGGTCATTCTGGATCCCTCTGATGCTGTTGATAATTTCGATAAACTCTCCTCGGCTTAGTTGGCTCGGGCCGTTCCCAATAGGGATCCGGCGCCGGTAAAAAACCAGCCCTGGACAGTTCGGCAGGAGTACCTTCTCGACGGCGGTGTTCCCGGCCGTCCGGCGCTCGATGACATCAAGGGGCACGATTTCGTAGTCGTTGAAGACGATATGGTCCCCCCGTTGGAAGGGCTTCAGCAGGTAATTGAACTGGCGGATGAAGAACTTGCGCTCGACTTTGTCGTCCTTGGTGGCTGTTAACCTCAGGCGCTCGATATGCTCGATAGAAACGGGGAGGTCATGGTCGTCCCACGAGTCGTCAATGATGCCGAATATTTGGTCCGGGATCTTGAGATCGACGAGAATCAAGAAGACGCGCTTGGCCTTGGAGTCGATCCAGTCCCAGTAAGTGCCGTCAGTCAGCCCCCCGCCGAAGGCCAGAGGTCGGTCTAAACGCTCAATTTCGTCAGGCAAAAGGTACTGGCAGACGAACTGCCGAGTGACGGTAGCGTCAATCCTCGCGGTGTCCCACCATTGACCCATGATGGATGTTCAACAGTCAGTAGTGGTGATAGTGGTAGGTGGGAGGTAGGTGGTAGACGGTAATCAGCCTCGTCGGACGCACGGCCGGGCGTGTGTGGCCGTCTCGTCTCGATGGAACGGAACCTTCGCCTTGGGTCGCTTCGTCGTTCCTTGCCCCTGGAGATGCTCTGACGTGCCTGCCGCCTAGGACGCTGACGACGCAGGCTGCATAACCGCGTGCGTGCCGTGCTCTTAAGCCCGAATCAGCTTCACACTCGGGAGCTGGGCTGGGCAGGGCGGCGCAGGTTGAGAAGCTGGCTGGGCAGGGCTTCGCAGCAACTTCAATGAAAATTTGGAGGTGTGTGAGGTTTATGTTTGAGACGAAGCAGATCAGGTCGGTACGGGAACGGGATTAATTTCATGGGGTCTGAGGTGCGTCGGGTCGGTTTGTCAGGACGGTCCCATGTCGAGAGTCCGTCCGTCCACTTGGTGGTTCGGTAGGCCTCAGTTAAAGGTAAATGGGAGGAGACAGCACTAAGCAGCTTACCCTTACCTCACTTACCTAAGGCAAGGCCAAGGCAAGCCGCATCTTGTCTTGACTGACGGATGGACGGGCGACGTAACGTACCTACATCCAGGTCCTGTGGTAGGTACACACGGCTCCGGGTACTTCCTGCGCAGTACCTCACCAACAGCAACCTCATCCAGAGCGCCAAAACGATCCACCACTTTGCCCACCAGGAACCTGCCTGCCCGTCTCCAGCAACACGGCACCCGCCTGCACTTGCCCACCCGCCCTCATGTCCCTCTCCGCAGTCCACTGCACATTCGTACACAGAGACAGTCCATTGGCAGTCGGTGCCTTAGCATGGGGCGTTTTTTTGGCTTTTGCCTTTGGGCACGCAGCGGGCGGCACAGCGGAGGACAAGGTTAGCAGTGGTAGCAGAGGCAGAAAGCGCTACCCCGACATGGTTCAACGTAGCGAGACAGCCCCGGCTTGCGGGCGCAAACTCAGGTGCATGAGCCTTCAGTCTCATTCTCGCGTGCCTCTTTGCGTCTCTGCGGGCACTTGCAACCGTACCGTGTACATGACCCACTGCGGCCAACATGTACCTACTGTACCTGTCCTTGCCTTGTATCTGTGGTGTTGCTCGCCCTGTCCTTCGAGAAACTCCAACCACGCTCTGTCTCTGTGTGCCGACATCCATCTCCCAGTCTTCAGCTCCAACAATGACAGCCTTCCCACGTTCCCACGCCTCCCAGGTCCTCACGGGGGGGGGGGGGGGGGGGGGGGGGGGGGGCTTCGTATCAGACCAAGAGACCTGCAGTCGTCTAGTAGATAGCCCTGATACAGATAGCGTTCTGATGTTGGTTAGTGTTAGCTCCCTGAAGCTAAAGCCGTGTCAGCATTCGCCAGATCGATCTGGTAGATGGATAGCTTCAAGACCTGATTGTGTCTGGCGGCTTATCGCCGCCTTGAGGACTTGTCTAGGTAACTCTAACCCCCTCAGCTCGCATGAATCAGTCCGTGGTCCATTGGCTCGATAGGGCGAAAGATAAGAACCTGTAGAGTCTGAGTGGCTGTTGTCAACGTCTTGGTGTCATTCCTGCAAGAAACGCCACTCATTTTTGGCAGCACACCAGGCTCTTTGCTCGCGGGATGTCACACCGCACGCACCGTCCACTACCGCCTGAAAGTAGCGTAGACTGGGGCTGCAGGGCGAGGATCGCCCATCGGCTGGGGTACACAGCATGCTGAGTGTGGAAAATAATCCCCTATTCCGTGTCTGGTGGGAGACAGCCAGGAAGGCAGCTTGGCATGCGTTGAAGCTGCGAAGGCTGTAGACTGCACGCGACACCAGTGACGCTCCCAATCCCGCGCAGCCAACCCTCTGCCTGACTCTCGCACGCTGTGCCAGAGATGCTTGAGGACCCCTCCATCAGGGGAAGATCAACGTCATGTCCAGCCTATGGCGTGGGCTGGTGGGGTACTCCCAAGGCGAATTGCGGCTGCTAGGGGTCCAAAGAGGATTTACCCCCACCCGATATTGCTTCCCGAGTCGTACAGACGTTGTGGTGATCAGGTCGTTGAACAAAAGTGCTTTTTGTCGACCTCCGGAAGCGCCGTGCAATGAGAGGAATCAGGCAAGAGCAGAATGAGACGAGCAGCGACACGAGAATGACCTTTCTCAGCGGGGAACTGCGATCGTAGGGTCCGCGAACAGGCTTCCTTCACAGCCAACAGACAAATCGGAGGGCCGCACGGCGCAGACGAGCGGGCGTTTGAGAAGTCTGGCCGCCGGGAGGGCGGCGGTGGGAACCGGCAGGCTGGTCGCCGTCGCCAGGATTCCCAAATCACACCCAACGTTGCACATTCTTCTTGTTGTCTTGCTCCCGTGGTAAATTTAGGCTCTCCGGCTTCGTACGTGTAGAGAGACATTCGATCCGGTGACCATCGACAAAGGTGGTCGCCGACTTGGGGAAGGCGTCCTGGAGTAGTCCGAGTCGAATACTTGTGCTTGCCGTTCTTGGGCGCTGTCTTGGCTAAACTCTGCATTGGGCCATATATGATCGAAATGGACATGTCGCGAGAAGCATAAGCTGCAGGCCTACCGCGCACCTGTTGTTCGATGTCGTCGGCCGACAGACCGGCTATCGGAGTTTGGCGGGCAACAAGCTGCAGTTCGAGTGGGCGATGGCCTGATTTATCAGCAAGTCATCGACGCGATAGATAATTCAGAATAGTTTCGGCGGTCTTGATTGGGCCTCTGGCAGCGGAGGAAGGTTGTCTGAATCGAAGATGGAGTTCCAAGGTTGCGAAGGATCAAGATGCAGACCGCAGGACGAGGGCGGCACGGCGGCCAACAGGTCCCCTGTTCCAACTCAGGCGAAGGGTCGCCTCTGAAAGTCAAAGAGGTCTGGACGTTGAGTGCGACTGCGGCCGCGGGCAGGCATGGTCCAGTGGGGTCGAGCCAGCTCCACTGGATGGTCGTCCCCAAGCACCAACTGCACGGGGCAAGTACAGGTACCTTCATCTAGATGATTCTTCTTGCCCGCCGAGTACCTTATTTCCTGGAGCGCATCAACAACTCAGAAGGCAGTCGGTCACGTAAGGTAGCTTGTTTCTTTCTCAGCACACCCTCAATCTCTGCCTCTTGCTATGGCCCATGCTGCTCCCAACTTATCCCATCTTTCCCATCAATCTAGAATGACATCAACCGAGGGCTTATCTGATGAGCTTGTGTGCCTTTTCGAGATCGATCCGAGACACGCCTTTTCTGTCCTCTTCCGAGCATTCCAGAAGTCACCCGGGGACGATCCCCCAGACTGCTCGACACATGCCGCATCTACTGACAGATCACAAAGAAGGACTTCATTCCACGAAGTTGTCCTCGACGTGTGGGTTCAAGCCGCACAGCCAATGCTTACACCCTGGCAAGCCCGAGGCGACATATAATTTCGCAAGCTCAGGGCGAGAAAAGGTCTCGCCCGCAGTAGCTCCCTGCCTCGTCTTGCTCTGACATCTGACAGAGTTACAAGTCGCAACGAGTAAATGTAGCCCAAGAGTCTGACGGGACAAGCTACAGCCCGCCATTCCTTGCCCAACAAGCTTATAGGACGATCGGCTGGCTGAATCGGGACCCGGCCTTCTGCGAACGCCGCTGCGGTTTCCAGATTCAGCGAACCTTTCGGCAAGTCATACCGGTCAACTGACATCGTGAGCCAAACCGTTGACAACGTCCGGATGAAGTCATTCAAGCTCGCAGAAGACCCTGGTTGAGTATGCAATGGCACAAGGCCGGAGCCAAGGCGCGTTAAGTCATCTTGGCCATTGGCACGGGAAGCCACGGGAGACATTTCGAACCCCTTGTTCGTCTCATTGGCCGAAGCGTTGTCTTGGAAGGCGCAAAACGGGCGTTGAGGGCGCTCGACGCAGCAAGTGTCACCAGATGCCGTTCAAGCCGTTGGCGACGCCGCAAGCCCATGACACTATTGCTGGGACCACGATCTTCAATTGACCTGCAAAGCAACATTGTTGTGTCGTTCAAGAGTTACACAGATAGTTTCGAGGTTTCAATGCTGTCGTGCCACTAATCTCACCGCTCATTGGCTCTTTGGCTAGTCAGCCAAATGCCCTTCGGTCTACGAAAAGAGCCAAGCGCGTGACAATGCCTCTGGCTGGCAAGGTCATACTCCCCTGAGCGCCCGCAGGAATTATTCGCTTGCTTTCACTCCGGGGCCTCCCTTCTGCCCAGATGCTTTTCCGCTACAATCCTTCGTTGCTATATCAGACATTCTCCGCCTGAGACCGGTACTTGGCTTCCGAGTCACTCTTAAGAAGGATCTGAATTCATCCGCCCCAAGTTGTATTCAACAGCCACAACTCAGCCCTACGACAGCCAACATCTGCCACTCATACAGCTGGGCTCAAGTTGACACGGGCATCAAGTTCAAAAAGTCGATACGAGAGCCAAATTATTGTCGAATCCTGCCTCGGAAAGTCTGATCTAGACCTGCGGGCTGCCATGACTGGAAGAACGAGCCGCGACCTGAGACTACCGAAACAGTCGGGAGAACTGGAGTTTGGACGAGAGACGCCTTGACGGAGGTTGTTGTCGCGAGCCGCATTACATAAGCGCAATATCAATAGCAGTCTTGGGCGCTGATTGACGATCCTGATTGCCCTGAGTAATCAAGGTGAGAGAAACCTGGAAGGTGTTGACGTCTCATGAAATGATCAGTGCTTTACAGTGGAGGGCGGTGAACAGCTGCCGAGTTTCGGAATCACAGAGAGTTGAAGCTGACTGGTCGCGGGCCTTGATCAGATACAGGAGTACTTCCCATCCACTGCAGATATAGTGACGGACCGTGTACCCGACAAACAGGCAGAATGCATGGGCCCGGTGACCAGTGCCCCGCAGGCCCCAGCTCCCGGCTCTCAGGGAGTAACGTGGCCAGCATCCCGTCATTGTTTAACTGTGAACTGCCTCCCTTCTGACGACGACCGACGGTGCCGAAACCATCTCCCCAGCATGGCCTTTTGAAAGGCCGCCTTTTCCATTCTCTCGAACGCGCCAGGTCGATTTTTTAAACCCGTTTTTTCCCTTCCAGCCGCCACCCAGCCTCCCCGGCTGCGTCTACAATAACAACAACATGCCCGATTCAATGGAAGCTCCGCTCATGGACGGTCGTCCAGACCGCGACGACGAGCTGGACTATCGCGAGGACGAAGAGGCGGACGTGCTTCCCGAGTCGTTCAAGAACACTCAGTCGAGACCGAGTCTCTTTGTTTGGCTACTCACGTTTGCTGCCGGCATCAGCGGCCTGTTGTTTGGATGTACGTTTGGCCCGTGCTGAAAGACTGGAAGCAAATCAATACTGACCCGGTTGAGCGCAGACGATACCGGCGTGATTTCAGCGACGCTTGTTTCCATCGATACCTCACTTTCGAATCGAATCTTGACATCATTCGACAAGTCCATCATTACCTCCAGCACTGCCTTGTTTGCCTTGCTTGTCTCCCCCTTTTCGTCCGTGGTCGCTGATGCGCTTCGCCGCAAGCGCGTGATACTCGTGGCTGATATCCTGTTCATCGTGGGCGCTTTGTTGCAAGCATGGAGTGGCACGGTGACAACCATGGTCTTGGGCCGATCCATAGTCGGCGCGGCAGTTGGTGCCGCGAGCTTCGTGGTCCCCTTGTACATCGCCGAACTTGCCCCTGCCAGCCACCGCGGCCGGCTCGTGACTATGAATGTTTTGTTCATCACACTGGGCCAAGTGGTCGCGTACATCATCGGATGGGCCTTTGCGGTTTATGGCGACAAGTCGACTGGATGGCGATGGATGGTGGGCCTGGGTGCTCTGCCCGCGGGCCTGCAATGCGCTATCCTGGTGTTCATGCCAGAATCGCCCAGGTGGCTTGTCATGGTAGGCAGGTCGCTGATGGCGAAGAAGGTTGTTGAGAAGGTTCTCGGCTCAACCGTAGGCGGCATGAGAGCTGCCGAATCTGTGGTCAAGGAGATCGAAATCGAAATCCGAGACGAGCGAGAGGTCATGAGACGGGAGGGAACGCCTCGCCTGGAATGGTGGGGCGGCTGGAAAGAGCTCTTTGCAGTCCCAAGAAACAAACGCGCGCTGGTCATCACATGCCTGCTTCAGGGCCTCCAACAGCTGTGCGGCTTCAACTCGCTCATGTACTTCTCAGCTACCATCTTCACGATGGTTGGCTTTGGAACACCAACGCTTACATCCCTCAGCGTCGCCGTCACCAACTTCTTGTTCACGGTTGCGGCGCTGTGTCTTATCGATCGCATCGGCAGGCGCAAGATTCTGCTCTACTCCCTGCCATTCATGATTGCCGGTCTGATGCTGTCGGCATACGGCTTCTCGTTCGTTGACCTCCGGACCGAGACGGTAGCAGTCACCGAAGCCGGCTCGGCGGCTGGAGCGGGCGGAGACCGCGGAGCCGCGGTGCTGATTCTAATCAGCATCATGGTGTACGTCGCGTCGTACGCGCTCGGACTGGGCAACGTGCCGTGGATGCAGAGTGAGCTGTTCCCGCTGGCCGTGAGATCCATCGGCAGCGGCGTGTCGACGGCGACGAACTGGGGCGCCAACTTTATCGTTGGGCTGACCTTCTTGCCACTGATGGACGCGCTGAGTCCGTCATGGACGTTTGTGCTGTACGCCCTGGTGTGCATGGTGGGATACGGGCTGATCTGGCGGATCTATCCCGAGACATCGGGACTGAGCCTGGAAGAGGCGACGAATCTGCTCGAGAACGGCTGGGGGGTCCGACGATAGCCTCGATCTGCCGTGGACCTGCATTTGCATCAGGGACCCTTGCATTTGAGGGACCCTCTGGATGGACTTTTCTTTTCACACTAGACTCTTTAGCGATACCTCGCGCAAAATCTACACACTATTGTATATGTTTAAAAGAAACGACCTGATTCTACCTCGTCTCAACTGCCGCGGGAAAGTGTCGCAGGGCGGGTTCGAGATTTTTCTAGAAATTTGAGCATGGTGGAGACATACCACATCCAACCCATGCAGCTCGGAATTTTCTCACCCCTGGCTGACGGCGGGTTTAGACGAAGATTCCATCTTCCGCTCCGGGGTGGCCATCGGGAGCCCAGCGGATAGCGGTAAGAAGCGGCATTGGGTTGGGCGTTGGGCCTCGGTGGCAAGGTCGGAAAGAGCCCCGGCGCCGTCAGCAAGGTGGACGCTTGCGATGGAGGGCGGATCCACGATCATCGTCCTTTTTGTATTGTTCAAATTTCACTAGCAGAGAACAATCGTATCAGGTATCGTTGTCGAATCCTCCTGAGGCCTATATCATTTTCAATGCAGGTAGACAGACGGTAGGCGGCTAGATCTGCGTGAACGGTGAAGCTGCACAACTCGCAGATCGCACAGCGCGCGGCTTGACCCGATCCAGCGGGATCCTTTCCCCCCTAGTTCCATCTTTCGGCGGCGCTGTAAACATGCGAGCCGAGGCCGAGAGTGTACAAGATGGAACTCGCGGGGATGCCGTGGCGCGGCGCCCATGTTTTAGTCAGTGCAGCAGCTTGTGTGTCGATTGTCAAGCAAGGTGACGTTTAAGGCTGATGACTAAAAGGGACCTAAGTGTCAGTCGATTGCATCTTGGCTGTGTGTGTGTGTGTGTGTGTGTGTGTGTGTGTGTGTGTGTGTGTGTTGGGTGCATCGTTCCGAAAGGCGAGCGCGCGGGGCCGAAGTTTGAGGGGGGCGGTCCAGAACCTCGCCCCATCTGTGGAAATTTTTTACTCGTTCCTTTTTTCCCCCTTCCCGTCCGCGTCTTAACTCCAAAGTCCAGCTGCTGCAGCGGTGACATGACATCACCCGGCTTTAGCCTGCCCCATCGTCTAGCCTCGGATCCGACCGGTAGTGTGGCAGCAAATTGATTGGTTTCCGGGGGGTTAAGGAAACGGAAGAAACAGCAGATCTGCCAGCAATCTTTTTGATTTTCTGCTTGACTCGACTCTTGTTTGCAAGATTGCTGGTGGCTGCTCGAGCCTTTCCGAGGACTGTGGAATGTTCCGCAGAAACTCTGTTCAACTCTAGGCTCTAATTTATTCCCGTGAGCCATTGCCGAAGCGATTGCCTTCCCGTTGGGATGATGGAAGTCTAAAACATGGGAACCCAAAGTTTGTCAACGCAACAGCCATCCCAATTGGTAATATTTGATGAACCCATGGGCAAGTCTTGGGACGTCTGTAACAACACCGCCCCAATGGCCTACGTATATCTAAGCAAAAGTGCGGTAGTAGACCGAATTCCTTTCCCATGCTAGGGTCCTCTTCCCTACCACCAGCACCCTAGGTATTTACGATGTAGCATTTGTACTGGCCATTGCCGGGTGCCGCCTCCGGCCCCGTCCGGGCCCACCCACTTTCCCAAGTGTAGGTCTCTTTCAGCAATTTTTTGTGCCGAGCTGCTTGCCGACTACCTGAAGCTGAGAGTAAGGAAAGAAAAAAAGAGGGAACCGGCATGACTTGGGAACCCAAGTGGGACTCCGTGACCCATTCCTTCCCTCCTCCCCTGGCTTGGTAACCGGGGAGATTTGCACTGCGAGTTCCCAATCAGCTGAGAGGAGAGTCATTCCTCGTTGCCATATTCGATTTTTTCCTTCTCTCCTGCGTCCGACTAACTCCTGGCCCTCGGCCTTTTCGCACTTTTCATTGTATCCATAGCCCATACACCACTTGCAACCTGGTACAACTAGGTGACTTGGCTTACCTATTCTCGTCTACTTACAAACCAGAACCCACCACTCGCTCACTAATAATACCCAACTCCTCTTCATCTGAACTTTTCACGCCCTTCGTGAATCAGATAGAATCGAAAACACGTCCCTCTTTAAGACGAAAAGCCGCACCATCACTCTCTTCTGGATCGCGCATTCATCATCTCCAGTTTATTACCCCTCCTCCAGAGTCCGCGCGCGCTCTCCTCTCGTCGCCACCGATCTAGAACCCCCCAAATCTGACCGGCGCCCACACTACTCTGACAGCTTCAGATCGGATCCCATTACTTTACTCTGACGTAGCTGGTCACCAACACGCGCCGCCTGCATTATAGCTCCGAGCTACCACTCAGCAACAGTACAACACAGCTCTGCATTGCATTGGGGTATCTTTGAAATCAACTGGATTATCCGCGGCTCCTCGGTACCTGCCAGTATTTAGCTACAAGCTCTAGCACAGACAGCATACACCTCAACGATCTGTGCTTCTCACACTCAGCAATACAACAATCTATCGAAACACCATCGGCCTCGTCCAACATGGCAATGGACGAAGTCGACCGCGAGATCGCGGCCGCCGAGCGCGCCGCCTCTCCCGAACGCTACCACGGCCGTGAGAGCCACGAGATCGAGCGCGTCCTTTCCGCATCCTCTTCATCCTCCGCGTCCTCCGTCTCCACCGGCCGCCGCCCGTTCTCTCGCACCGGCACCGGCATCAGCCGCGTCTCGACTCAGAATGATCTCGAAAGACACCCCACGGCCCTGAGCCGCATCGCGACGGCCCGCAGCCAGCACTCTAATACCGTCGGCCGCAGCATCAAGAGCAAGCAGTCCAACAGGCCGCTCCCGCAAATGGGCGCCGGCAAGCCGTACCCGCCGCCGTTGCCCGAACAGGAGGAGTACGTTGTGGAATTCGACGGGCCCAACGACCCCCTGCACGCGCAGAACTGGCCGTTGAAGAAGAAGTAAGTCGATGACATCCTGTGCGACCTGCGCGCACGCGCTCCACCTCAGGGCCGTCACTAACATGTCTTGGCGTGCAGGTTACTTACAGCCGCAATGCTTGGCTTCACCACGATGACAGCCGCATTCTGCAGCAGTATCTTCTCCGCGGCAACCCAGGTTATTGCGATTGAGTATGGCGTGTCGACAACTGTCGGCACGCTTGGTGTGTCCTTCTACGTGTTGGGCTTCGCCTTTGGACCCAGTTTGTGGGCGCCGCTTTCCGAGCTGAAGGGCAGAAGACTGCCCCTAGTCCTCGCCATGTTTGGCTTCTCCGTATTCTCCATTGCTACTGCTACCGCCAAGGATCTTCAGACTATTCTCATCACTCGATTCTTCGCTGGATTCTTCGGCGCCTGTCCGCTGGCTGTCGTCGCCGCTGTGTTCTCAGACATGTTCGACAACCGCAGCCGTGGTAGCGCTATTACTGTCTTCTCAATGGCCGTCTTCACCGGTCCGCTGCTGGCTCCTTTCATTGGTGGCTACATTGTCGAGTCTCACCTTGGCTGGCGCTGGACTGAGTACCTTGCGGCTATCATGGGCTTCTTCGCCTTCGGTCTGGATTTGCTCTTCCTCGAGGAGACATACCCGCCTGTTATCCTGGTCAGCAAAGCTTCGGAGCTGCGCCGTCGCACCCGCAACTGGGGCATTCACGCCAAGCAGGAGGAAATCGAGGTCGACTTCAAGGAATTGGTCAACAAGAACTTCTCTCGTCCCATGCGCCTCCTCTTCGGAGAGCCCATCGTCACCGCCTTGTCTGTATACATGGCCTTCATCTACGGACTTCTGTATCTCTTCCTGACGGCATACCCCTTCGTCTTCCGCGGCATTCACGGCTTCAACGCTGGCCAGTCCGGCCTGACCTTTTTCGGCATGATTACCGGCCAGCTCATTGCTGGCGTTACTGTCCTTCTTCAGCAACCCTGGTATCTTCGCAAGCTCAAGGCCAACAACGGCGTTCCCATTCCCGAGTGGCGTCTGCCCAGCGTCATCGCTGGCGGCATCTTCTTCTCAGCCGGTATCTTCTGGTTCGGATGGTCCGGCTACTGCGCAGACATCCACTGGATCGTCCCCACCCTTAGCGGTCTCTTCACCGGCTTCGGCCTCATGTCGATCTTCCTCCAGGCCCTCAACTACCTGGTCGATGCCTATCTCATGTTCGCTGCCTCCGCCATTGCTGGAAACACCTTCCTCCGTTCCCTCTGCGGCGCCGGCTTCCCCTTGTTTGCGAGCTATATGTTCAACGGCATGGGAATCGAATACGCTTCGACCCTCTTGGGTTGTGTCGCTGTCGTCCTTGCTCCTATCCCAGTGATCTTCTACATCTGGGGACACAAGATCCGCGCCAAGAGCGCGTACGCCCCGACCTTTGCGGCGCCTGCCGACGAGCCCGAGGAGTCCGTCGAGGACCTCACCAACGGCCACGTCAGCCACGAGAACGAGAAGCCGCCTTCCGTCAACGGGCCCTCGAGCATCCCGAGGACCAGCGGCAACAAGGCCGAGAACGCCGTCTAAACCGTCCGCCTCCAAAGTATGTGATGGTGTATATATGTACGCCTTTTATATGTGACCTCGATTTCCCAGCGAGGTTTTTCTGGCTTTTGTCTTTTTGCATCAAGATACCACCGGCCAGGAAAGTAGGGAAAGGGAAGGGAGGGGACTCCAAAAAAGTTGTTTCAGCGTCATGTTGATTTGGGAAAGGTTTACGACAGCATCGTTCATCTGATGATACCATCTTGCCTTTGCCTTTTTATTACCATTTTCCCATATAATAATCCTAGTTACACTCGAATGAGAATAGAGAAATTGAGAATGAGAACAAAAAACGCCCTTTTTTGCTGTCTTGAAGTGACGGGTTCCTGTGTACTCCGTATTACCATTGTCGTCAATATTGCCTCCATCGTTAATATCCCTTCTACTATCGTCTTCTATACCATCGTTCTCTCTGTTGCTATCGTCCTTAATTGAAGTTATCAACTACATAGGAAATGTAGCCGGTCTCATAAGAGAGGCTCAATTAAGATAACCGAAAGGTTCAGGCTAATCGGCCGATCATCCGTGAACGCACGCACTGACCAAACTGTCATTTTGATATAGTTTATGGTTCCCCCGAACTGCTAATCAAGACTGATGGAAGTTAATCTGACAATTTCTTTGTCTTTCGGGAACCCCCGCATTTAGTCGATCCTCCCGCAATCCTGGTGTGGCAGCCGGGAATGACAGGCTCCGCTAGCTGTGACACAACAGACTGTCTTTTCAAGTTTACCCGGTCACAATTGAATTTCTGTTTTGTCACCTCCCAAAAGATTTATGACGGAAAATCATGAGATGACAGCAAGATCACTGTAGATAGGGCACGTGCTGGTAAATGACAGCAGGTAGCAGTTCAGCATGACAAGGGTGGCGGAGGCGACGCCCTTCGAGAGGGGGTCTCGGACTATGATAAGACGGATAATTGTGGCAGTGAAGACACTCGCGACGAATCCTTACAATTTCGCCTGTCGCGGTAGCGTTCCCAAAAGCAGGCTTATTTTGCCTGGTTGATTATAAAGCAATTGGTGTCTTTGACCATCTTGCACGCCCTTCCTAGCAATCAAACTACCAAGTTGTTGTTGCCCCAAAGTCTCAAAATTAACACGAACACCACATACAAACAGCGAGCAAACCAGCCACGCCACTCATAACTTTCGGCATTGCAAAAAAACACCGCTCGTATTCAATTGAGAATATCGAAGGCTACAATCCAGACATAATGTCCGCCGAAGAAGCGCCCAAGCCGACCAAGACGTACGACGCGAGCTGCCACTGTGGCAACGTCAAGTTCTCGCTGACGCTCTCGCCGCCGCTGGAGGAGGGGTACAAGGTGCTCAACTGCAACTGCTCCATCTGCCGGCGCAGCGGCTACCTGCTCATATGTGAGTCTGGGATTTTCTTTCCTCATCTCTTTTCTTCTCTTGTGGCTTGAATTCGGGAATGTCTGTCTTGGTTGCACATTGTTGCGCGACTGTTGCATTTTCGAAATGGCTGACCGTCATCGCAGACCCCAGTAAGAAGGACGTCACCTGGCACGATGGCTCGCGAGAGAAGTGCACCAACTACCGCTTCAATACCAAGACCAAGGACCAGATGTTTTGCGGGAGCTGCGGCTCGAGTCTGGGCATCGACTTTTTGAATGAAGACTATTATGGAATCAGCGTACGTGTTTCCTTTCTCGGCTATCAACGGGTCAACATGCTAAACCACAGGTAGGCACGCGCTCTTGATGGCATTGACCTCGACACACTCACGTACAAGAAACTGGATGGCTTGAATAGGGTTTCCCCGGCCGCAGATCTGTCTGGCAAAGAGTCCAAGGATACCAGCACGTGTCTAGACAGTTAAGCTTCAATTTGGTTTGAACGTGAGTTAGAGTATATATTTCATGTATGTCTTGAGACGTTTCTGTACATGCGGCTTCAGATTACGGAACCCGCCCGACGCCGGCGCCGCAAGGTCATCTGGTATTTGCAACATCCTTAAATCAATCTTCCGTTCTTCTCACTCATGCCCCTCTCCTGCCTTCCGATGAAAGTCTTCATCGAGGTATCTACACCGGCGACCCTTCTCGCAACCTGCTGAACAGATGCGGGGAGCACATTGTACCAGTGAATCCACCTGGCGTAGAGCGGCATCGCCACGTGCGCACTGCGGCCCGCGTCGATGGCCGCAACTACCTCCTTGCACACGTCCACAGGCTCAACAACTGGCGCGACGAAAGCGTGGGGGGTCTGAACACCGTAGAAGAGCGGGGTCGAGAGCTGGCCGGGCTCAACGAGGATGGTGCGGATCTCGGGGTGGGAGGCGACAAGCTCGGCGGTCAGGGACTTGTGGAGGGCGGTGACACCAGCTTTGGCCGCGGCGTAGTCTGTGAGGGAGGCAGCGCCGAGGTGACCGAGGACGGAGGACATTGTGACGATTGTGCCGCCCTGGCCGCCACGAATGATCTGCGGGAGGAAGGTCTTGAGCGTGATGAAGTGGGAGGTCAAGTTCGTGGTGATAGAGCGCTCAATGTCGGAGATCTCGAGCTCGAGGAGGGGCTTGCCCTTGACGATTGCTGCGTTGTTGATCAGAACGGTTGGTGTGCCGAGCTGTATGGACTGTCAGTGATCTGTGATATCGTATGGGGGGCACGTTGGGGAGCTTACCTCGCGTTCGATCTCTCCCGCTACCCTCGCGACCTCGTTCTTGTCAGTGACATCGCACTTGTAGAACGTCACACCCCGCGCCTCGCCGTTCTCCATCTCGTTGACGTCGAGCACAGCGACGGTAGCGCCGCGCATGCCGTAGACCTCGGCAATCAGCAGACCCAGACCACTGGCGCCGCCGGTGATGACAATGACTTCTTCGGAGAGGTCGACCTCGCGGGGCAGGCCGTAAGCGACGCGCTGGTTAATGATACCCGCCATCCAACAGAGGGTAATGAAGGTCGCCCAGGCGATGGAGGCGATCATTTGCGGGGCATCGTAGGGAAGAGCTTGCGCGCGGAAGCACAGAGGGATAATCCAGGAGACGAAGGGGTGGAAAAAGGTGATCTTGAAGACCTTCACGATGAGGTCGATTGAGAGGGGCGCGAACCACGACTCTTGTTGGGGTGGGCGTGGGTATTCCATTGTGGTGGTGGTGGTGTTCTCTCTCGAGGTAGCAGTGACGACAGTGCGTGTTCTCGCGACGTATTAGACCAACAGCTCTCTCCCGCGTCCTGCACAGAATAAAAGAAGGATTAAGGTGGGAAGGATGCGGATGTAAAGGAAGAATCGTACAGGTGTCGTCCAGCGTTGGGAGGAAAGGGAAGAAAGGAAAAATCGGGAAAAGATGAGACGAAAAGTCGGCTGCAGTCTGGCCACAAGGAATGGGAAAGCTCGAGGCGCTTTCTCTGCAGCGGGGAGCTGGAATTCGTCACATGTGGATGGGAGCGTTGAAACGGAGGCCAAGCGCTAGGGGGCCCCTGACAGGTCAGCTCCTGTCTGTGTGCTGTTGCAAGCGTGTGTGCCCCTGGAACCCCTGGGTGGTTTGGGGTCGGCTGCTACCACTAAAACACCCCGTTTCGCCCCTTGCAGCCGCCCATGATCATCTCTCCCCCACGGCTTGCGCTGCCGGGTGGGCCGCTGTCTTTTAAGCTTCTCTCCGAGCCGGCGGACTTGTCGGCCGCCGAGTGAAAGCCCGTCCGGGATTTAGATTAAAGATGTCAGTTGCGGCGTTGATACGTGAGAATGGACAATGGGGAAATCAACCCGAATGATGCGTAACATCTCGCGGAAATTCGTTGGTATATTCTTGACCAATTCTTAACCATGGACGACTTGACCTGTGGTATTGATTCTAAATGCACTTTTCACACAGTGGCCCCCTTGTCCCATACATACAGTTGACATGCCGCCCAAACGCCGAACAATGCAATAAGCAGCACCTTTCTCAGATTTTCCATTACTTCTCGCGCGCCAGGATAGGCTTTTCTCTCTCGCTCCGTCTCTTCTCGAACTGTTTCTTGGTGTGCCTGCGCTCGTTCTCCTCGCGTCTCTTGATCGACTTGAGCTCGACATTCTTGATCTCGCCAGCCTTCTTGATGACCTTCGGCAGGTGGCGGTGTCTCTTGATGCGTCTGATCTCAGGCATGTGGCTGTATCGGTTGACGAGGGCCTCGTTATACTCGAGGGCTTGTCTCTGCTTCGCGGAGCGGATACCGGATCGATCGTTGGCGTTGGACCTCCAGATGCGCACGTTTCCGTCGTCGGAGCCGGAAAGGATGTACTTGGAGTCGGGTGTGAACATGGTGCTGAAGACCCTCTGCATGCGCTTGGTGTGGTAGATGTCGCGTGAGTGACCTTGGTCGCGATTCCAGATGCGGACTGTCCTGTCGTAGGATCCGGAGACCAACTCCTCACCCGTCGGACTGAACTCGACACTCATGACAGCCGCGACGTGGCCCTTGTAAACGTTCAGTGCCCTGTCGAACTTGCGCATGTCAAACATCTGTACAGGTCAGCATCATTCCACAAGCATTCTTAATATCTCCACACATACATAACAGTTGTGGTCTTCGCTGCCAACGACCAGGTTGAAAGCCTCCATCGGGTTCCATGACAGAGAGTTGCAGGCAAAAGTCATGGTCGTCTTGGTCAGGGGCATCGCAGTGCGGACATCCCAGAGCACGATGCTTCTGTCGGCGGCCGTGCTTCCCAGAATCGACTGCTCCACCTGGTTGAAAGCAACGGAGGTGATCGTGTCGGTCGCGTTGGGCCAGCGCAGAATCTCGGGCGCTGCACTGTGTCGCTCGAGGTCGTAAATGGCGATCTCGCTAGACGCGGATGAGGCCGCAAAGGCGTTCCGTGTTCTGTGGTGGGACAGACTTTGGAAACCGCTATTGCCCAGCCAAGAAGAAATCGGCGCGGAATCGCTCGGCGTGTTGTAGGGGTCCCAAAGCTTTATCGTCTTGTCGGCGGCCGCACTGAGTAGCTTTCCGTCCTTCGTCCAGCACAGACTTCGTACAATATTGGTGTGCGCGCTCTTCACCGTCCAAATCTCGTCTCGGCTCGTAAGGTCGAAGGTCTTGATCGCACCATCACCACTTGCCGATGCAAAATTTTTCAGGGAATTCGGGTCCTTCGCCATTGAGTAGACCTGTAGTAGCCGTCAGAATGGCAGTCGCACAAAGCTGAATCCACTTCGATCTTACGCCGTCAACAAAACCGCTGCCCATCTGTCCAATGAAGGGCGCGGCGTGCATGCGCTCGAGCTTGACAGCATTGAGGGCTTTTGTGTACCTGATCGTGCTGTTAGCTTGTGAAATCGAGAAGTGGCGAGGTTGTCGTACTCTCGGGCGCGTTCCATAGGATGCTGGGCGGGATCGAGGTTTCTTGAGAAGAGTTAGCGATGCTTTGCAGGTAGATCATAAGCTCATATACCTAGGCAGCTTTTGCGCACTTGCGCCGGGAGGCTGGTATGCCTCCACGCTCCGAGAAAGGGCCTTGATCTTCATTTTGGCGGATGCAGTGCAGTGTGTTGCTTCACCAGAGGCGTGTCAATCAATGGCTGCGAAGCCATCCAGAACTTCTCCCAAAAATTTAAGTGGGGGTGGGGATCTCTCGGAGAATTTTGGCCAACCATAGCTCCTTGCGGATCAATCACGGCCCGGCCGTGCCTACCCTCTGCTCCCGCCCGGGCTTGCGTCGCGGTCATGGCAACCTGGACCTACTGGAGGCGGCTGGAGCTGTTGACAAAGCACCAAGAAGCTACATCACGAATCCGGCGATTGAACCATAACCACCACCTCTTCCCCACGACGACAATTCCACGAAACCTCACACAAGCAAACGAACCGAGACGAATTGTTGAACGACCGGAGGTCAAATATCCAGAATGGCTCAGGGCGAATCGGCGAGGGTGCAAGAGGCACAGAAGGCGGCCAAGTCAGATCCCCGAAAGGCAGAGCAGCTCTACAAGGACATCATCTCCAAGCCCCCTTCCGCAACCTCCGATGCTGCGGTGAAGGAGTACGAGACGGCGTTGATTAGCTTGGGAGAGCTGTACCGGGATGAGAAGTGAGCCCCTCCCCACCTGGCGATGACATCGTCGGACCCATGTGTGCTAATTGCCCTTGTAGGAACACGCAGGAGCTTGTCGACCTTGTCACAAAAAGCCGAACAGTGCTTTCGTCATTCGCCAAGGCGAAGACAGCAAAGCTTGGTATGGACTGATCGCAACCCTGTCAAATTAGGCAATTCCGCAGATAGCTAACTGCTACCCCTCCAGTCCGCTCGCTCCTCGACCTCTTCGAGAACATTGAGGGCAGCACCGATATTCAGATTGCCGTTACGAAATCATGTATAGAATGGGCCACCTCCGAGCGCCGCAGCTTCCTGCGCCAGAATCTCGAGACCCGCCTGGTCACCCTCCTCATGCAGAAGCAGGCCTACTACGACGCCCTCACACTCATCAACGGCCTCCTCCGCGAGCTCAAGCGCCTAGACGACAAGCTTGTCCTGGTTGAGGTACAGCTCCTCGAGTCGCGCGTCTACCATGCTCTCGGCAACATCCCCAAGGCCCGTGCCGCCCTCACCAGTGCCCGTACGAGCGCCGCCTCCGTCTACACCCCTCCCCTTCTCCAGGCCCACCTCGACATGCAGAGCGGTATGCTCCACGCCGAAGACAAGGACTTCAACACGGCCTTCTCCTACTTTATCGAGGCCCTCGATGGCTACCACAGCCAAGACGAGCACACAAAGGCTACCGCCGCCCTGCAGTACATGCTGCTCTGCAAGATCATGCTCAACCTCGTTGACGACGTCAACAACCTGATGACATCCAAGCAGGCCCAGAAGTACGCTAGCAAGAACCTCGAGGCTATGAAGGCTATTGCCAGAGCGCACTCAAACCGTTCTCTCGAGGAGTACGAGCAGGCTCTGCAGTCCTACCGCGAGCAGCTTGGCAGCGACGCCTTCATCCGCAACCACCTGCGCCGGCTCTACGACGCAATGCTGGAGCAAAACCTTATCAAGGTGATTGAGCCATTCTCTCGCGTTGAGATCAACCACATCGCCAAGATGGTCGGCCTCGACACGCAACAGGTCGAGCGCAAGCTCTCCCAGATGATTCTCGACAAGGTCATCATTGGTGTTCTGGACCAGGGTGCGGGATGCCTCATCATTTACGACGAGACGGAGCGCGACAGCGCATACGACCATGCTCTTGCTACGATTGAGAAGCTGAGCAGCGTGGTGGACGTCCTTTACACCAACCAGGCCTCGATGCTCGAGTAAGACATGGCAGGCGTCAAGGGGTCAAGGGGTAAAGGAAGCGAATGGATTCGGAACTGTACTATTACCATAGACACACAATGCCGGCGGTGCATGAGACAGAAATTCATTCTGATGAAGTGGTATCTTACAAACTGCGGGTATCTCCCCAGTGTCCAAACAATGTGATATCTGTCCCCCCGAAACGCCATCGAAACCACAGTACAATAATTCAACGTGAAACTTTCATGATAGGCCCCTGATCTTTTGTTCATCAATCAACCACAACGCCCAAAGAACAGGAACGCCAATATGCATGCCTTTAAACAAACTTCACCGAGGGTGCTTTAGGCGCGCGCTGCTCCCTGCGGAGCCGCTCTCCCACGATCAACGAAAAGGCCCTTTTGGCCAGCACCTCCTCATCCCACCCGCCAACCTCGGCCTTGAAGGCGTCAACAACGTCAAGGTGCCACTGCTCCATAAGCAGACTGGACCCGTGCGAGTTGACCGACTTGCCCAGCAACCAGCCTGATTTCGACTGAAACCCGGCTGGCCATCGGAAGTTGAAGGGGCCCCGCCTGCGCAGGTGGATGAGCTCGTCCATCAAGAGCCAGTGGTCGCGGGACCACATCGTCTGGGAGAGACGCTTCTCGACGGGCTTGGGCGGGTTGCTGAGATCCGCTTGGGGCACGTCAGTCACGGACACGTCCATCTCCTCGTTTTCTTCCGACACGTCGTTCTCCTTGTCCTCCTCGATAACCGTGATGCTGCGCTGCGGCGCGAAGGCGACCGCGGCGGGGCCCGCGGCGCTGCCGTTGGAGCTGGCGGACATGCGCCGCTCGGCGCGAGCTTGTGCCTGCGCGAGCGGGGAGAGCACGCTGCTCGTGAACTCGACGACCCTTCCCGGCGTGCGCGGCTTCAAGGGGGAGCGCAGGCAGGACTTTGGAGGTGACATGTTCCTGTCGGGCAGGGGGCGGAGGCTGCTGCGGCGCGGGGACTCGGGACTGTCTTCTGCGATGGCTGAGGCACTATCCTCCTGCCACTTTTTGATGTCCGCGCGGGTGAGCTGCATACGCACCGGGGTCAGGGAGGGAACTGGGGCGGCGGCCTTGGCGAAGAGGTTGTTGGTCTTCTGGCCTGACCGCGGGGTGAAGTTCTGCTTCTGAGCGACGGGGAGGAAGGAGATCTCGGACGACATTGCGGGCTGAGAGTCGGGAATCTCTGACTGATGGCGCATGTTGGGCCGGCTCCGGCTGGAGGCGAAGAGCTCCCGGCGGGTATTTTGAACGTCAGGGTTTATGGCAGCGCTGGCGGGCTTGACGGCACTTGACTTTGCAGGAGAGAAGAGGTCTGATCGCCCACTCTGGGATGGGTTGAATGCCTTTTGCGGGACGGAGGGGAACATCGAGTTCGTCTCTAGTCCCCCAGGGAAGCGCTCGGCAGGCTGTGAGAGGTCCCTCTGAGCGAGGGCGTTCTGTCGCTTTTTCGCGTCCAAGATGTCCCGAACGCCCTCGGTGCCGGGCAAGAGGGCCGGAGATGAGAAGAAGGCAGACAGGTCCTTCTTAGCGGACGAGTGCTGAGCCATATTGAGGGCCTTGTGCGGGATTTGCTTCTGGCGACTGCGCTGCTGAGAGAGCATTGAAAAGTCCTCAATCTCAGCGTCATCAGCCATCAAGTCGTGGACACGAGACGCAGCTGGGGTGAACACAGGTGGCTTCTTTGGTGATTCGGGGCCTCTCTTCCACGGGCTTGGGGCAGCGCGGCGGGCAGGGATCGATTGGACGGATTGCTTGCCAAAGTCGCGCTGGCGGCTTGACTGCGAAGCCGGTCGTGAAGCCTCAACTGCCCAGATGTCATCGTCCTCCTCTTCTTCCGCATAATCCTCCTCAGGCTCTTCCTCTTCCTCTGGCTCCTGTTCTTCAACCTCGGTTTCGTCACCGGCATCGTAGTCCTGACGCTCAAAGCCAGGCTGAGACTCGAAGCTGCGCTGGGCCTCAAGGTTTGGTCGAGCTTCAAAGCTGCGCTGTTGGCTGCCGAACGAGTTGCCGATTGCGTCCATGCTGGAGTTGACAGATCGCGACGGAGCAAATGGCTGCTCGCGAGGAGCAGGCTCTTCCTGCATCCAACTCATCTCATCGGCCTCGTCGGCCGGCGCAGCACGGAGAGATCCCGACATTGACCTAGGACGTGCTGTCGCCCTGCTCGGCGACGAGGACCGTACACTCTTTGCCAGGGCCTCCATGAAGCTCGGCTGGCCGATATGACTATCTTCGGCACCGAAAGGATCCTCGTACGGGGGTTGGCTTTGATTTACTGATTGCGGCACTGATGGGTGCGCCAAGAGCCTGGTGGGAGACTGGAAGAACTGAGCGCCTGCCTGGATCAAGTTGGAAAGTGGCTGGGTCCAGCTGTTTCTTGGCTTGGAGGCGGATTGAGGCTGAAGCTGACTGCTACTAGTAGTCGGTCTGAACGGGCTGCCGAGCGAGTTCTGGCGAGGAGGAGACGAGGCATCTGATGTGACGCTCTGTAGAGCTCGGCCGGCCCGGACTATTGGCGACAGGGTTGGGCGGAAGCCGGCCTCGGGCGATGGCGCACGAGGTGCTAAGAGGTTGCCGGCAGGCGCCGGAATGGGCGATGAGGCCGGGCCTACTGGTGTAATGTATTCGTTCGCCGTACGAGGCAAGTTTGTCGTCAGGTCTCCAACGGGAAGCGAAGAGCTTCGAACTGAGTTCCTCCTCACAGCATTCTTCTCAGGAGGCGCCACGGGTTCGTCCGCCTCTTCGGCTGCAGGAGAAGAACTACGCTCTGGATAATGAGATTGGCCAACAACTGGGGGAGAACTCCCCTCGGGTAGATGGGTTTGTTCAGCCACTGGAGAAGAGCTTCGCTGATCGGGGAGGAAAGTTTGCTCAGCTATAGGGGAGCTTGGCTGATCAGGCAGGAAAGTCTCCTCAGCCATGGGAGAAGAGCTTCTCTGTTCAGGCAGGTAACAATGCGAAACGAGGGGAGAGCTCTCAGCAGGCAGATGATGTTGCCCTGCTGCAGAAGAAGAGCTTCTGCTTCTGCTTCTGCCCTCACTCCTGACCTTGCTCGTATCTCCCGGCAATTGAGACTGCTCGGCCAAAGGAGAAGTTTGAGGCGCATCGATGGTTTTGCCATCGGAGTCAGGGACAGGAACTTCATTAGAAGATAGAGTGTCGTCCGGCGTGAGCATTCTGCTCGAGTCTGAGCGAGTGAATACATTCGCATTCGAACGGTCGGCACTTTTTGTCGGAGAAGGTTTTGGGGGCTCTTCCTCTGCCAATTCAACTTCCTCCATACCCCTGTCCTCTTGTGCCTCAACTTCGGCATCTTCTTCCTCGTTGACCTCGGTCTCATCCACTCGTTGCAGCGTCCTGCCAGGGGTAGCAGCCTCCAAATACTCTTCGGGGATCTCGGAGAAATCATCCTCATACGCGGCAGAGTCCTCCTCGTTGGCCATCGAGCTTCGTCTCACACCCGAACTTCGTCTTGAGGTCGAGCTTCGCCTAGAGGTCTTCTTGGCAGGTGTCGCAGCGGCTAGAATTTTGGAGGGAATGCTGGAAAAGGAGTCATCCATTTGGCGTGCCTTGGACTCGAGGAGCTTCCTACCCAGCGGGATAGACTTGCGGCGAGGGCTGCTCCGGATCCAGGTAGGCGACTGATTGCCCTTGCTGGGCGTGCCATCGCTTCCTGCAGCCGACGAAGGTGCGCGAAGCCTGGGAGTTGGCAGGGATGGGAGATCGACGGGTGAGTGGGTGACAGCGCTCATATCGACGATGGACTCAACGTTGACTTCGCCAGTCACATCGGGGATCGTCTCATTATTGATGTCGACAGAGTTGTCGACCAAGGAGTCCATGAGAGCTTCTATCCTAGTCGATGGCGAGGTATGAAGCGTCACGTCACGTTCGACCTCCATTCTAGACTCTTCCGCCTGCTGGGTGGGAATGCCCACAACCTCATCCTCCTCGTCTTCGTCGTCCGGGCGCAAAGCGCCACTCTGCCTTAGCGATTCCAGAGTCTGGTTAATAATCATATTTGTTTCGTCGCCAAAGTCTTCCGGGCCGGATGCTTGCACGCCCATACTACTCTTAAGTGACGGGATCGAGTTCGCAAAGATCATGCTGAAGTCTTCGCCCTGGGCGACGGTGTCCATATCTCGGTCGCGAGAGCCACTGCTGGGATGAGCATCGTCGCCGACTAGAGAAGAAATATCGCTCGCCGGTCCTGGGCCAAAGTCGTAGTTATCGTAAGCGGGTTCGTTGCCATCGTCGGAATCAAACGGTGTCGGGCTCTTTTTGGGATGGGAGGGGGACGAGATGCGCCGTTGGCTCGTGTCTCCATGATTCCTCGGCCGCGGGGTTGTCTCATCATCCATCGTTGCCATCCAGATATCCCCATCAGACTCTGGTACGTTCTCCGTCGGTTGCTCCCGCGCCGGGGTGGAGTCCACATCCATCTGTTGCATGCCCGCCGCAAGAACATCGTCCGATGGCGGGACAACCTGGTCGAAGTCCTCAATCGTATGAATAGTTTCGTCGGGTTTGAAATCGACCTTTCTTGGCCTGCCGCGGCGCCGCGTTGTCGAAGGCGCAGGATCCGTGGAACCCTGGCGACTAGAACCGCGTGGGCGGCGCATTATGGATTTCGGCGTGCCTTGAGGAATGGTCATGTCTGAATTCAGATCGTCCGAGTCTCCAATCTTGGGTTTGCGCGCCGGTCTGGGCGTCCCCCTCGGTGTTCCCTTCCTCTTTCTCGTTGTGGTGCCGGTACCTGCGCCGCTGGGTCCCGGCGTCGCATTCTTGGGTGGACGACCCCTCCGCGCCGGGGTCTTGATCGCCGTGGCTCTCTTATCGCCGCCGAGCGGAATCGTGGTTGTAGTCGTGCCTCTCCTGAGGCTGGGTGTTTGCGCGTTGAATAGTCTGCGCCCGACATTCTCGTACTCGTCCTCGGCTTCAACGGTAACTAGTAGGCGTTGCGGCTTGCGATTGTCTCCGACCTCGAGCTCGAACATCTGCTTTCTAGGCGACGTTCCGGGGCCACCGACGGAGAACAATCGCTGGGACCGCTGGCTTCGGGTCACGCGATTTGTCGACGGGTAGAGGGCTGACGAGAGGTTATCGTTGAGGGGATCGGGCGACGAGAGGTCATCTTCGCTGGGTGCTCGTGTTATTGGAGTCGCCATGTTGGCTGGCGCAATTGGGGCGTGAAAACGCGCGCGCGGTTGGGTATGAATACCGCGTAGACTTTATGCAAAGAAGCAAAAAAGAAACAAAAGAAGACGCCAAAAAGAAGAACACGCGCAGGGCTCTTTGGCCTTCCTGTAGGTTAGTCGCACAAACGTTGAAAGCTATTCATGGGAAAGGTGTGTTGCGCGCGAAGTGGTGTGGTGGCCGCGGTGCCGGCAGGGTGGTGCTGCGCTGGCGCTGAAAGAGGGTCCCAACAGGGCCCTGGACCAGTTGTCAATGTCAGCCCAAAAGCTGTTTTGTTTACTTTCTTCCGAGTGTGGACTAGCGCAAGCCACCCCTCGGTCGCCTTGGCGGGGACGAGAGACAATTGACAGCGACTTGACTTTTTCCCGCGGGCACGGTCCACGCCCATTAAAGACAAGGGGAACAATATTTCCCCGCTATCCCGATCTCTCCCGCTTCGGCGCTCGACCCGACCTTGACGGCTCACGGAGCCGGGGCCGCCTCGAAAACCAGGCTCTCCACGTGAGAGATCCCGAATCCCCGAAAATTCGGAGTTAAACCCTGCTGGGCAAAGATTATGGGAGATTGGCGCCCCATTCTTCACATGCGACCTGTGACCGTCAGTACCCTTTTCCAGCCCCCCTGCCTGTGATAGCATGAATGACATAACTGGGGTTAAGGTTCTTAGCGGCAGCCCTTCCAGTGTGGCCTGCCCCCCCCTTCGGCATTGCTAACGTGGTTGACCTCGGCTCCAACCAAGGGATTGGTACTGTTTGAGATGGCAGAAGGCCAGACTCGACTTCTTCAGACTCCCATTCAAATACGGCATCCCGCATTCAGGTTGATGCACCATCGCACCGCTGCCCTCTCGTCGTCCCAAGTTTCGTAAAACCAACCTAAGCCTCCTCCCAGCGACACTCTACATACACCATATAATCCAAAGCCATGTCGCAGTCTAAGCCAGCAATCCCGCAGAACGACAATGTCGCCCACGCCCTCGCTGGCGCAGGCGGGGGTCTGCTCTCCATGGCCTTGACGTAAGAAGAACCAGGGGACTTTTTCTGGAACCCTCCGTGCCTCCATCATCTGCAGATTTTACCCCAGATTCCATTCGCGTGGCGCAAACCGTAGTTCTAATCACACCCATCATCGCAGCTACCCTCTCATCACCCTCTCCACCCGCGCCCAGGTCGAATCGAAGCGCGCCGACTCCGCCTTCCTCACCGCCGTCCAGAAGATCGTCGCCAGGGAGGGCGTGTCCGGGCTCTACTCCGGCCTCGAGTCCGCGCTGTTCGGCATCAGCGTCACCAACTTCGTCTACTACTACTGGTACGAATGGACCCGCGCCTTCTTCGAGAAGGCCGCCGAGAAGGCCGGCCGCGCCAACAGGAAGCTCACCACCGTCGAGTCCATGATCGCGGGCGCCATCGCCGGCTCCGCGACCGTCATCCTCACGAACCCCATCTGGGTCGTCAACACCCGCATGACCACCCGCAGCCAGGCCAGCGCCAAGAAGGAGGGCGACGAGGAGGCGCAAGCCGCGAAGCCCGCGAAGGCGCCCTCGACCATCGGCACGCTGCTGGCGCTGCTGAAGAACGAAGGCCCCCAGGCCCTGTTCTCGGGTGTCATTCCCGCGCTGGTGCTCGTTATCAACCCCATTCTGCAGTACACCCTGTTTGAGCAGATGAAGAACACCGTTGAGAAGAAGAGGAGGGTCACACCGACCATCGCCTTCTTCCTCGGTGCCTTGGGCAAGCTGTTTGCCACGTCGGTCACCTACCCGTATATCACGGTCAAGAGCCAGATGCACGTCGCCGGCAACGGCGAGAAGAAGGAGGGCATGTCCCAGGCCATCAGCCGGGTCATCAAGGAGGAGGGCTATGCCGGCCTCTACAAGGGTAAATATCACATGCCAAAGACGGAGATGCATGTAGCACTAACAATAAGTCCAGGTATCGGCCCCAAGGTCACTCAGAGCGTGCTGACCGCCGCCTTCCTCTTCGCCTTCAAGGACGTCCTTTACGAGCAGACTGTCAAGCTCAGGCTGCTGTCCAAGAAGCGCGCGTAAATGCTTCATAAATCAATGACCACCTCGAAACTTGGAAACTGCGCAAGTCAACACAGTTGGGACTAGAGGTTGAGATTTAAACGCATATATAGACCAAGCCAGCTAGACGCTCCGTTGCATCGCATGGTAGCTCAGCATATACGTTCGTAACACGCGACTTGTATCAAATTTTTGTACGGAAATCACGGAAATACCCTCAAACACGGGTATTGGATGGAAATCGGGCGAACATGGTTGCCAAAGGTAGCATCACATGATTCTTTGGGAAATTGGGAAGAAATCTAGGAGTACCACATCTTTTTTTAGAAGTAGGATTCAATTATCCGTTGCAAGTCTATCTTATGCTACACCTCGGTCCGTTGCTCTCAGAGCCTCACCGAACGGGTATGATTCTCGGGACGATCCACCACTCGTGATACGACTTCTCTGGAGTCGGCACCTCGGCCTTGAGCTTGAGTTCCCCGCCTTCGCCCGACTTGTCTAGCGCCTTTCTGATAAGCGACACCGCCAGCCCCGCGGCGATGCACGACTTGAGCCCGTTCTTCGTGGTCGGCACCCAGCGATCATGTGATCCGACGGAGAAGGACTCCGCCTCAGGGAACTTGCTCATGACCTCGAAGCCCTTCTTCGCGCCGGCGATGGCCCTGTCGGCCAGCGCCAGGAGGTCGCCGATGGACGCGTCAGACTGCTGCGTGCCGATGGTGAACTCTTCAAAGGTGGGCAGCGACGGCAGCCCGATGACCGCGAAGGGCTTCATGCGCAGCTCGTAACGGAGCTCGTCCGTGCTGTAGGGCCGTGGCGGCGGCTTGATCAGGCCGAGGCGGTGCAGGGCGGTGTACAGACAGGACAGCGCGTCGGAGAGACCTTCGGTCACGGCGGCGTCGAGGAGCGTCAGGCGGAGGAACGCGAGCGACTTTGTGTACTGCGCTTCGACTGTCGGGGAGAGCCGCTGCCTGTTGGCTTGGGCCTGGCTGAGGCTCCTCACGACGAAGGACTTTATGCGCTCGACGTGCTGCAGGCGGTTCTTGGCGAGGAAGTTGAGGTACCAGTACATGCCGGCGAGCTCGTCGGGCTGGTAGACCTCGAGCTCGAAGCCGAGCTGGACGATCCACTCCATCTGCTTGACCTTGTAGAGGTACGCCCAGGAGGAGAGCGGGAGGGAGAAGGTCTCGACGGGGCCCGAGGCGGACTGGTACACGACGGGCTGCTCGTCGCTCTGGTGCTGGATGATCTGGTCAACGTCCTCGGCGTCAAACTGCAGGTTCTCCCAGTCGCGGACGATGTGGCACAGGGTGCGGCGGACGCGGCAGCGGTTCTGGCAGAAGGTGCGGAGGATGTCGAGGTAAGGCTGCGCGGCGCGCATGCGGAAGGACTCCATCTGGGCGGCGATGGTGAAGCGCGGGTCGTGGGTTGCTTCGATCTCGTCGTTTGCGCGGTCGAGGAGGGGGGAGGCGGGGAGGGAGACGATGGAAAAGTCGTCGTCGAGGAGTTGGCGGATCGACTTGTGGCCGAGGACCTCCATGTCCTTGAAGAGGAATGATTGGAGAAGGGTGCGGACGAAGATTAGGGGTTGGGGCTTCTTTGCTTGGAAGGTTGAGACGTAAGTCTGAGAGTGGTTTGTCAGTGGTAGACTCGTGGTGAAAAGGGGTCGGGGGGGAGGGGCTACCTGGAGGCAGATCGAATCGGTGTAGTTTAGCACGCCCACGACCTCTATCCCGTCGCTGATCATTCTCGTGAGATTTGCAAAGGCGTCCTCGAAGCTGGTTTGGACTATAGGCCGCGGGGGCATGGTACTAGCAAGCTTACGCTGCAACTTCGCACTGAATGCCTCGGGGACGGGCTTTCCAAGGCCGTGGCTGTCCTTGATGCCTGGGAGCATGCCGAAGGCCTCCTGCCACGGGCTCCTGATCCGATTGGGGTCGGTCCGGTATTGCGTGTGATCAATGGCGGCGAGAAACGTATATCTGAGGAGTAACCTGGCGTTCAGAGCGTCTACGAGCTCTTTCGGTACCGAGTCCGCGGAGTGACGCAGGATGAAGCTAGCATCCTTGATGATATCTCGGACTGATTCAACGCTGAAGTCGTCGAGCAGGACTCTGTTGTAGGTATTTGTAACAAAGTCTTCCTCCTAAGGGCACGTTCAGCCAAGTTCACCGAGAAAGGGCAAGAGTTTTACCTCATAGTAGTGCTCGCTCTTTATCCTCTCGTTGACATTTCCGCATGTTTTGAGCAACCCTAGGATGTACGCCCGGAGGACGGCGTGCATCGGTGCTGGTGGTTTGCCATTGGCGTCCCGGATGAAATGGGCGTCATCGAGAGTAGTCGGGTTGGGCATCAAAATTGACTCAACGAATATACTTGTGAATAGAGTCTGGGATAGGGGGTATCCGACATGCCAGGCCATCTATCTGAGCGTTAGCTAGGTGCTATGTTGACGGAGGCAGGCACCTACCTCGTGACAGAGCAGTTGGTCGATAATGCCAAGGACCTCTTCGGGGAGGAGAGGCCGTGATACGTCGTAGTCTACGTCAAGAGACTCCTCCGCCTCAAGGCAACCGCTATCCATCTTCGGATCCATGATCTGGTCAGACGGTGAGCGTGAAGTCCGTGGTCATCTCAACAGCATTTCCGCGTACCTCCAGAGCCCCAACGGACTCAAACAGAGTGAAGAAGCCATCTTTGACGAGCTCGCCAGGTTCAAGCTCTTGATTACAATCAGTACTGACGTTTGCCTTGACAAAGTTCACGGGTGAAGCTCACTCTCGGCAGCTGCGGTGAATTTTGATGTGATATCAAAGGCAACGATGCCGTCACTTGAGATGTTGGGCGGCGGGGGTGGCGGGGGTTCGCGCCCTTGCTCCAGCGAGAGCCTTGAAATGTCTAGGCTGAGTTTAGCAACGTGCAAATTGACCGTTCAAAATGAAAAAAACCACCTTCGGACACTCCAAAGCCGGAAGAAATGGCCATCTCAGCAGATGCGCCTCATATGAGGCTCTGTTGAGTGACGCTTGGTAGGGAGTGCGGTTTTAGTGAGGTCACATTGACTTTGCAGCCGGGCATGGATAGGCCGAATAAAAATGGTATGGAGGGGCGCGCCACAATAACTCTGCCAGCAAGGTCCGCAGGAACGGGATTGCAGTAAGCCTGTGGAAATAAATGAGGCAGTCACTTGTTCGCAATCCAGCGTGCAGGCCAAAGGCGCTTGGTGTTGTTGTGCGAAGTACCTGCGACGGGAACATGGAGTGATCACAACCGAGTTTGTCCGGCGGCGGGCAAATTTGGGTCTGTGGAGGGAGCACGCCCAACATTCTGGCCGATGTCGAGCGGCTCGTCACTGTGCCCGACATCGCAACTTTCAGAGGCACCAATCCCAACAGTACAAAAAAAAAAAAAAGTGAGTGTTCAGAAAACTTTGGCAAGATGAGGCATCGAATTGATAGATTTTATGCCACTTTTTTGATATGATACAGCAGCTCACTGCCTAGGAGCCGGCGGGTGCCCGGAAGGGGCGCTTTGCATTTCAACCCTTCCATCTGTCCGCCCCCATCTATCCCGTTCGACGCACGTCATGCTCCGTCGCTCATACAATCTCATCTATTTCCCTTTCTTTCGGTAGATCGGTTTACGAAGAGGCGGCGGGCTTGGCGACAGTGGCCTGGGCGAGGGGCTTGGGGTCGCCCTGCTTGCCGTTCTGCGGGCATTTCTGTCAGCGCGAATGTTCTCTCTTTCGTCGGTCGCTTCTATCTGTCGCTCACCTCCCACTTGGCGAAACGCAGCTCCATCTCTCCGCGGCGCTCGGCGGCGATTCTCTTGTCCTCCTTCAGGCTGCGGCGCACGACGCGAGAAGCGACGGCGAGGTAGCGGTTGTAGCTGTTGATCGGGGGTTGCCGGGTTAGCCTTTTCCGTTCCCTCTTTTCTGTCGCTTTCCCGACGCAATCGTTTCGTGGGCGGAATCAATTGACTCACGTGAGACCGGCGGCTTTCCAGGCGAAGACCATTTTGGCGGTTTTTTCGAGGACGGGACGGGTTTGATGTGGTTGATTAGATGCGGGAGTGGGACGTAGCTCGGCGGTTGTGATGCCAATTGAAGGTTTCTAGATTCCCGAAGCGCAAGCTCCGAGTTCGATGCCTTGGTGGCCTGAGGCAAACACAGCGGAAGGTGAGTCTATCATAGTACGGCTGCTGGTCGGGTAGCTTAGGTGGGCTCCACCCAATCGTAGCAACTCGGCCCGGACCACTCAGAGCTGAGATCAAGTTACCATCTATTTAGCAAAGATGGGATGACAGAACTTCTTTCAAAATTGCCTTGCATCAGTGCTATTATGCACCTGGAAGATTACCCGGGACATCGGCACTGTTGTCTGTCTTGCTCTCGCGAACCAACAAGTTCTGACATCAGCCTTTAGAGCATCGCGCTATCAGTGAGCCCGAAGCCGCGACGTTCACTAAAGCCGTCGTCCTTCCGTTAATGGCCGAAAATTGCCAGTTGTTTCTCATCCTCAACTTCTCGTCCAGGAGATCGGCAAGAGTTAAACTTTCGGGATTTAGCAGGCAACGTGCACGATTGATGATACAGCGTCCTTGACAGTTAGCTCCGTGGAAAATCCGTCGACGGAGCATCCGCGGCCTCTGCTGTGTACGGCCCCATCTCAGTCAGCCAGCCCAATAGGGCTGGTCTACCATGCCACTATCCGGAAAATCGGCTTCGGGCACGGAGCTGCGGCGCTGCTGCCTGTGTGACGAATGCGTGTGCGAGGATGCCGGCGCGGCGTCGTTGAGATACCCGTCCGCAAGGGAATGGCGAGCGACTTGGTGGCTGTCAGCAGGTTAAGCTAGCCAAAACCCGGCGGCGTACTTAAACTCGTGTTTGCCAAGGCCTCATTCCATCAGTCTGGGCTGTTCACAATTGTTCACTTACGCTTCAAAGTCATCGTAAGATACTTCTTATCAGGGAGAATTTGTGCCTACAAATCTGATCTATTTTGCCCGTTCACTGCCTGAATCGATTGACTTTCAAGAATCATCGTCACGGGCGATCTGTAACTCTCCCTTGTCAAAATGACCAACCTCAAGATAGCCATCATTGGTGCAGGGCCTGCTGGTAAGTCTAATAATGCATTGAAGTCTTGACCCAATGCACAGCATTCTTCTTGTCATACACCTATACATCGGCTTACAAGGCCTCAGGATGTATGTTGGCACGGCTTCTGCATCTAGCCAACATTGAAGCAACGGTCTATGAAAGCGAGTCTTCGCCAGATTTCCGATCGCAGGGCGGCAGTTTGGACCTTCATACCAACACTGGGCTAGCTGCGCTGAAAGAGGCGGCTCTGTTTGATGAGTTCTTGAAGCATGCCAGATACGACGGACAGTACATGGCCATTGTCGACAAGAACAACAAGCCCCACTTTGTGAGAACGGCAGAAGGATGGGGGAGTGGTGTTCAGGAACGCCCAGAAATCGACCGACCCAAACTACGTGAAATCCTCGCAGATTCTCTGCCCAAGGGTATGATCAAGTGGGGACATCGCCTCAAGTCAGTCGGCGAGGACGGCACGCTCAACTTTGAACACACCTCGGCGGCGGGACCAAGATTGGGCTTTACTCTTTGAGCATCCCGAACGCTGCAGAGACTGCGCCCGAGTTGTCCAAGTTGGTCAATAGGGGAAACCTCTTTGCCAACAGCTACCAGCAGCGTATCACAGTTCAACAGATGGGCGACGAGAGTCTGAGTGTTTACGCCGCGGTGGTGTCAGAAGAAGAGAAATGGTCAAGCCCGGAAGTGTGCGGATACGACTCGCACGATATCGACGCGGTCAAGAAGCACCTCTTGGAACTGTACAAAGATTGGAGCCCGGAGCTAACGGATGCAATCGTCAAAGCGGAGGGCGAGTGCACACCGAGATCGCTGTACATGCTTCCGGTCGGGTTCAAGTGGTTGCACCGGCGCGGGTTTACGGTCATCGGAGATGCGGCCCACTTAATGACGCCGTATGCCGGTGAGGGTGTCAACGTCGCCCTGGAGGACGCGATGCACTTGGCCAAGGCCATCATCAGCTCTGCGACTGAAGGGGGAGACTCGGATATCTTGGACCGCAAGGTCGAGGCATTCGAGAAGGAAATGTTCCCGCGCATGGAAAAGGTGCAACGGCTGACGGAGGAGCTTATGCACGACAACATGTTCACACCCGGCTCGCCGCAGACCACGATCGCAAGGTCGGTAGCAAGGCACGCCAAGTTCGAGACGCCGTGGGTTTTCCATCCGCTGGTGACGGCCTCAGTACACACATTCTTTTTCATGCGCAAGCTGCTGCCATAAGCCAAGCAGCGTGGCTGAGTTATTTGTATAGTCGCGCGAGGCACGATAGGTTTGGAGTCAGGATAAGGTCCCTGCCGGCGGCTTCTTCAGGTTAATGCTGTATTTCCGTGATAGTAACCCATGTCGTTTTCCAGTCACCGGGGTTTAAGCAGATCGCAATCCGTTTGCGCGTGGCGCAGTGCCCATGTCTGGACTCGGCTGCTGGGTTGAGTTGACTGGAGTGACAGTTGTCAACGACCCCGTTTGATGCGACCGGGTCTTCTCAGTGGTTCGTTCTGTAGATCACGGAGAATAAGATGGCAATGAACCAAAGAGCACCGCGTGTCGGTAGTGCAGTAGCGGTTCGTGATGTAATGGCGCGCCCTAGTCATGGTTCGCCCGGCCACGAGGGAAAGGTTGAAACGCCAGGCTCGTCTTCCTCTAACAGTGGCTGGCAGGGTTCAGACGTCGAGGTAGCGTTGTGGTTGCAGAGTGACACTTGGATGCACTGATCCTATGAGGGGGCAGAGAAAGCAGGCAACGCGTGGGAACGCATGGAAAGGATTTTAACGCGGGCAGACACCTCGTGCAAACCGAAGCGACGCCCGGACCGCGATGAGGGATGGATGGATGGGCATCGCGGTGGGTTGAGGTCGACTCCTCATTGGTATCTCTGTAGTCGAGGTCAAGATATTCATTGAAAATGGAGATCTAGCAGGTGTGATGGCAGCACCCCGCTCCTGCGCATATCACAGACTATGGTTGTTTTGAAACATTCCAGTGTGTTTCATCCCAGATATTTGTATTCTGTTCAAGGGGTGAGAAGACGAGATGGATGACAGGACGGGGCAGTCAAAGTGGACGAGACCGGAAGGAGGTGAGCAACTTGCGTGTTCCATTGGAAAAAAAAGAGATGCAAATCGCGATGGCCAATAGCACACACGAGTTGACGTCGAGGTGGCTGGTAAAGGGCACGTGCGTTTCTCTCGCTTACTGGCATTACAGGGGGGGTCAAGCCACTTTGGGAGCCCTTGGGAGCCAGTCAGGCCTCAGCGCTCCACTGTCAGGATGATGTGACGGGCAGGACGGGCAGCGGACAGTAGGTGGGCGGCGGACTGGGGGTTGACGAGGGATGGGCGAGCAAGCGGATTGGTGCTTGCGGCGGACAGTGACGGGGCCCTGACGCACCGCTACAGGGCATGGGTGCACCGGGGGCAGTCATTCTACAGCGGGTTTTGCTGGCCTCCAGTCACCAGTGCACCACCTCAGTGTTTCCTTGGGCTTCACTGCAACTGGTCTTGGGCCGAAAAAGCAGTCCAGAGCCATCCATCCTGGGAGCCACTCCTCGCCTCAGTCGTCCACCGCACCGCACCGCTTTCCGAACACGGTTCGACATTGCATACACGCAGCGCAGGGCCTTACCTCGTAAATACATACTAGCACCTCGTAATTGCTTTGCGCTCTGCGAGTCTATGCGGCAACCTTGCAGTCATCACCTCAACATTCCCGCCGTCTGCGACACCTGCCAACTTGCGCACCGAATCCGTCCAGACCAAGCCGTCCCGCCAGCAATCCTGCACTCCCACGGCCTCTTTTTCCCAACCGAACACACGCCACGCCAGTCCGACTCTGGCTGTTGTTGTCTTGACCTGCACCGAACCGGACGATCCCCTACCGCCGCCGCTCGCCGCCGATAACTAAGGTATCCTGTCGCCCACGGACTCGGCATCGGATGAGATTCTCTCGACCTCCTTGCTCCTGCATATTCCAACTTTTCGCCCTCGCTCAGCTCACCATTCTTCCTCCGAATCTTCCTCCTGGACGGGCATGATTGGCGAACCTTTAATCGAATAGCAACCGCCGCTCCTTTACTCGAATCCGAGCTCTTATTTTTGGTTACCTTTGCTCCGGAGGCATTGCTTGGGGAAGAGCGAGAAAGAGGGAGGAACATATTGATCGCAAAACGTCACATTACCGACCTCAGTTATGATGCAGGCACCGCCAGGCCCTTCCCAGCGCATGCAACGCCGCTCCCCCGGTGCCGAACCTGGGCCCCCACCAAATGTTCCCGTACGTTCGATATCGCCCGGCAACGGCGTACAGTCGCGCTCTTCCAACGCCTCAAACCGATCGGCGCCTCCAAATGGCATGCGAAGATCAAATGTGAGTATACCACGCGTTGTCCACGGTGCTCGGCGTTGCTCGCAAGCTGTTGCCCGAGATCTGGGCTCCTCTTGCTATCCACCCCACCAAGCCCTAGCTCCTCCCAACTATCTTGCAAGAAACTGACCAGACATTTCCGCAGAACTCTACTAGCTCTCAAATGCCCTTATCGCAAATAGAAAAGAGTGTCACTCACTTGCTAGTTGCCACGAAACAGCTTCTCGAGACTCTCACACAATGGTCGCGCGGCCAAGCCACCGACGGCCAGGTGTCCGACGTCTATGTGAGACTGGGATACGAGTTCAACATGGCCTGCCGGGCATTCACAGCTATCAACGTGGACACCTCCGACCTGGGCAATGTCCCCGAACTGCTGCGAAGTATTCTAGAGGCTACTCTTAGTCAAGAAGCAAGCACCGAGAGCTTGGAGAAATACCTCCCACGTATTCGCGACATTATAATCAACTTGCTTCACGGCCTCAAGCGGAAGCAGCAGAAGCTGAGACAGAAGGGACCGAGAGATAGGGAAAGTGGCGG